GGCCTTCTGCTTCGGCTTTTGCGATTTCTGCTTTGATTGTTTTGCAGCTGAGTGGCTTGCTGGCGAAGATGGGCTACACCAAGAACCAGGTGTTTAAGTTCTAAAGCATGTGCAATTTGYTGTCTTTGAGAGAAAGGGTGGGCTACACGAAGAACCAGGGGCTCCGCTTTGTGGGGGTTGTAGACCCCCACAAGGAGTTACTGCGAACCAGAACCAGATGGCGAACAATGGGAGCAACGTGGGGAGCTTGTGGTTGCCTGCATGTTTGAAAGGGTGCAGATGAGTCAGGAATGACGGGGCCAATGACGAAGCGGCGACTGGCACGATTATGAGATGGTCCGGAGTCTAGTGAAGGCATCATGCGGTTAAGGGGAAGGGCGGTTGATGTGGTTTCAGGCGGTGTCACAAACGAGATGTAAGGTCTGTTTGCCGCTGTATCCCTTTGTCCTGGTGTGTGTGATGTGAGAAGGATGGAGCAACACGACACAATTACGGAGTGAAGGCAGACATGCGCTCTATTCAGCCAGAGTTGGTATAGTTATAGTGTGAATCGAAAATGTGCAAGTCGTTCGACTGGGTGGGAAGATGATGCCATCGAAAGCTCTGCTTTTATACGCATCCAAGCAAGGTCAGGATCAGAATTCAAGATGGTGAACCTCAGGCATGTTAGAGTGGTTTGGTTGTTTATGAGATAGTGGAGAAAATTGAGTCGATGAGGAGGAGGTGAAGCCTGTGTGAATTTTGTTTTTGTGGGACATGAGTTTCAACTTTCTATGCTGGAACTACGTTGCAAACAACCCATTGCATAGTTGTATCTTTATTCTTATATCTAAAGTAATACTACTTCAGTACGCAATGTTTGTCTACTTCAGGTAACAAATGATTGGACCTCTTAGCAAGGATGAATGTGGTTGCCTTTGTTCTGCCTCCCCTCTTTTTTCGGATTGGTCTCCCCTTTTTCTCTTCTCCTAGTAATGCTTATGGGATGTGGGCTGCATACGCGGCAGGCTCTGGCGATTGGCCACCGTCGGATGTTGATCTGCGGTTGTCTTCCTGCATCCAACTTTCCGCGGCCTCAAAACAATGGCCACCATGTAACGCGATTCGCTGCAATTGCGGTCAGCCGTCGGGTAAAGAATTCTCGCATGTCCGATTGAAAAGTCTAACCTGCTTGTCACAGCACAAAAAGTCCGACCCACCTGTCACGGCACAGAAAGTTGCCCGATGTTGGATGTGATACAGATCTACGGCTGGTTGTGGATGGGATTGAAAAAATAGTGCTTTTCTCTCTTTCGCTCTCCCTTTTTTTTTGTCCTTCTGTGTGTTTTTAAGTTTTTTATAATTTTTTTCTGTGTTGAAGGAGAGATGGGATGGGGGCTCAAACCCAGGCTGTGCACTGGTGTGATGTGGAAGATTTGGGTTTGATTTTGGAACAGGGGGGGAGGGGGGGGGGGGGTGCTAGAGACTTGTGTTAGAGATTTGCAGGAAGTGTTTGGGCCTCCTTGATGCGAGTAGCTCGAACCCAGTGTGGTGCCATATGCTTATGCGATTTTCTTTCACTGATTTTGACGCATGGAAACACTTCCCTTAGTCGAAACGAATAGAACTTTTGTGTATTTTGACAGGGTTGCCATGAAAAGAGATGAGTGTGACAATTCTTTCTGAAAAATTGTACATGCTACGTCCTTGTAGGGTGCTTCGAGGTTTTTGCAGTGCTTTGTGCCTTTAAAGGATCAATAAAGGAAAAAAGGGGGATACCAAACCATATCAGTTTTTGTGCTATGATGATTTTCGTTAAATTACGAGAACCTATGCAAATTAATTAATACAGTAATTATATTATAATAACTTAATTAATAAGGCCAATAGAAACTTCATAAGAAACCATTTGAGCAGCAGATCGTAGCGCTGCTCCTAGAAAAAAAAACATATTTGGAAATGCTAGACCAACCTTACCTGCTGTTATAATACCATGGACACCTGACTTGAGTGATTTGACATATGGCTAAACTTCTTTCTGTGAAAACCCGCTCCACAAAATGAAAGTTTCGTTTTGGGTTTAATACTTTAAGCTGAAGTGACAAGAGTCGCATTAAGCCCACGAAGGTGTTCAAAAATTTTGGATAGTTGTTTCTATAAAGTGGTAGAGTTGATTAAGGTATATATTTGATATTAGGGGACTAAGGCCGAAGGGCTGTCGCCCGGCGGCGCATATGGTTGCCTCTTCAATCTCTCCGTGTGGCATATGCGTCTATCTCGGATTGTTCGCTATTGGTGAGGTCTTGGATCTCTTGTTGGTATTTGTTTGGTAATCAATATAAGTACTGGCATTTTTTAAGTTGTGCATGATACGCCTCATATAGATTTAGCTTTCTACAGTGTAGAACACGTTATGAGACATGTTCAAGGAGGCTGACTACTTTATATATGCACGCCAATGTAGCAAGTATATGGGCGGAAAAAAAAAAAAAAAACACGCCAATGTAGCAAGTATGTGGCCGACTGTTAGGTTACCTGAAGTTAATTACGAAAGGGCTAACAAGAAGAAAGATCCTATGCAATCAATTCGGCTCTCTAGACATCGGGCACATGGAGGAGTTTGTAGTTTGATTACAGGTGTTATCTTATCCAATACGAACGAAAAAAAAAACAAATTACTCAAATTATGCACTTTGGTTTTGAACAAAATATAGGTTTGTCAGAGACTTGGGTTTGGTCTTGGAACTTTGCCAGGGGGGGGGGGACGTGTCAGAGACTTGCAGGAAAGGTTTGGGTCTCCGTAATGGTTGTCCTTGATGAGAGTAGCTCGAACCCAGCATAGTGCCATGTGGTTATGTGGTTTTCTTTCACTAAGTTTGATGATGGAAACACTTTTCCCGTAGTCGAAATGTGTTCAGGGAGCGGGCGGTGTGTCTTTCCGTGTCTTAGCAGAAGATTCATTTTCATTTTGGATTCTCATTTTTCGCACACGTGCGGGGAGACCCTCTTCTGCATATTTTGGAGAGAGCACAGTGCTCTGCAGTCTGCCTGCTCTCTTCCACCATTGTCCTGAGGCTAAGGGCCTCCCCACACCAGTCACCAAATTTGTAAAAGGAGAACGGAATTTCCATTAATACATGGAGCTATACACCGCCGTGGTATGTGTCTTTTGTGCATTTGGCAATTGCTGGGGCCACGTAAGTCCCACCAGCGGGGCAGTATTTTTCAACGTGGCAACAGTGTGACCCTGAGATGTTCAGATCTGACGGCAGGAGTTGTGTACTCTAAATCCAGTCCAAACCCTCACCAGTTGACTTAGCCTCTGAGTGGGTGTCGTTGCACCATGCCTTTCTTCGTTGCCGACGCACTAACACTGCCGCAACTGCATTGCAACGTCTGCGTGTGCATGCACTTGCCCGTGTGTGTGTTTGTGTGTGTGTGTGTGTGTGAGAGAGAGAAAGATTCATTGGCATTCTTTTACTTGGTTGATTCCGCTTCGTCTTCTCCTCTTCTTCTTCTTTTTTAGCGGAAGATTCATTCTCACGTGGGTTTCGTTGTTCAGTTCTGATGAAGAACACCTTCTGTCAGTTCTGTTGAAGAACACCTTTCTTCTGTCTGCCAGATATGATCAGCATCAATTTTTTTTTTCTTGCTCGTGCTCGTGCTGATGCTAATCTGTCAGGTAGTTTGTCTAGCCGACAGCCTGCTCTGGCACGTCGACATCGTTCTTCAACCATGCGCCGACCACGCCAGTTCAGACCCGGCTTTCCAGAGGTGACCAACGATAACAAAAAGAGGGCAATGAAACGAGAGGGTTCATTCTATTCGGGTGATGACAGTATTTGGATTAACACTTCGCAATATTGCAGACTTTCCGGAGGTCCAAATCACTCTTGTCCTTTCCTGAGAGAATCTGGCTATAATGACGATCAGATACATCCTAGAGAATCCAAATATGAGAATAGGATTTAAGCCAACAATCACGTGAACACTGCTACGCGCAGCATTACGTAAAACTCGCTTCGTGTCAAAATCACGTCCACATGCAGATGCTCATATACGTGTAAAAATGGCAAAATCACGCCCACATGCATATACGTGTATAAATGGCAAATCATTACACATGCAGATATAATCAAATACACACGTCGAAATCACGTACACCCTTGTTGCTCACAGACCCTGCTTATGCCGATCAGGAGTATCAAGCAGACTATAATAAATGGGAAAATCACGTCCCCATGCCGATGCACGTGAATAAATGGTAAATCATCCCACTTGTACAGTTCCAAGTACACATGCAGATCAAATCAAATACACATGTAATCGCGTACATCCGTATTGGTCCTACAAAATATTAAGTCCCAACCGACATCGGGGTTTTATGAAAAATTAGTATCGTGGTCAGAGGGGCGTGATAGGGTAAATCGGTCGTGGGAGGGGCGCGACGGCAAATAATGGAAATTACAGGGGCACCGGACAAATTTTCCCAGAAAGCAAATTGCTTTGTTTTCTTATAGCCCCTACCAATACCGCCCTGATCGGCCATTTACCGAAATGGAAAATTATGTACACTTGTGTAGGGTCCATGACCAACACAAGTGTACGTAATTTTGACGCGTGTATTTGATTATATATGAGCCGTCCAAGTGCGATGATCTGCCATTTATACACGTGTTATGAGCATCTGCATGTGGACTAGGATGTGAGCATCTGGATGTGGAAGTGATTTCAACACGATATGCATCGCTAGCTATGCTTACAAATCCCCTGTATAAGCTTAGGAGAGGTCCTAGGTAGGTAGGTAGTAAAAGGTGAAATTGAGAGAAGAATATAAATTAATTACAAAAAGATAACACGTGCACATGCAAATGCTCAACACACCTGAATACATGTTGACAAATGCTCACACACACTGAGGATATTTGTCCTTTAGGCATTCACATACACCGAGGATATTAGTCCTTTAGGCATTTACCTTGGACGCTGCTGGCCGTATATTAGTCCTTTGGGCATTTACCTTAGACGCTCCTGGCCGTAATTTCGGCGTTTCTAGAATGAAGATCATCAGCACTTACGGGGTTCCTTTTGGTAGGACCTGACAATTGCGGTCCAAAAAACGCCGAAATTGCGGCCAGGTAAGTCTACTAAGAAAAAAAAAAACGCCCAAAGGAGCAAGAGCTGCTCTTCTCTGAAACAGAGAACGAAAGTAATCGAACTCAATGGGCCTCGCTCCACTTCTCTCGAAATGTGCAAAACGAGAGCTAATCTTTCACTAGAACATAGAAAGATACACCGCCATGATTTGTCTTTTGCGCACGTCGAGAGTGGTAAGAGACAATGCCTCGGATAACAAGATCGACACGTAAAAGAAGGTTCAAACATGCCCTCGAAGCGCCAGCAAGATACCTCCTCTCTCTTTCTCTCTCTCTCTTTCACACACACACACACACACACACACACACACACACACACA